GATCTCAAGTTCGGGATTTATAACCATTCCTGATACAAAATATGAAATGAGCTTTTAGAAAATATTTACATTCTTTTGTCGTTTTGGTTTTCATGTCTTAGAAGTGATATTTTCAAGACCTTCTCTGTAAAAAAAAAAAGAATTAAAAAAATGCTTTAAACAAGACACCCTTCAGGTTTTGTCACAAATATGTGATTTCAAGAGCTTTAAGAGACATGCACAGAAAACAATGAATATTGTAAGATGAAGGTTGTGAAAGTTTGGCTTTGTGTGTTTTGGCAAGCACTCAACACCACAAAGCAAACCTGATTCTGCCCTGGTTTAGAAGTGCAGATGCACACACAGTGAGCTTTTGCTTCCTTACGCTATCTGTTCCGCACTTGAGCAGACTTCCAGCTACTGATGCTTGCTGAGAACATCTCCCTCCCTGTGCCTCTGGGGGGATGCACAAGTGTGTCAAACAAGAGAAGGAGGAAAGGGAGTTAAGACCTTCTTCCCTGTGGGGAAGGAGGCACCTCAAAGCTGTGTGGGGATAAGAGCCAGCTCATACAGTGACACAGCTCATGCACACGCTTTGCCCAGATGCCTGAGAGAGACTTTTCTCCTGCCAGAACAGAATCACTGCCCTCCTGAGAAGGACAGCCGGAGGTCTGAGATATACATATGCCCTTGTGAGCTGCATATGACCAGAAGGTATGGATACAGCAAGCCTCTTTCACCAAATCCTTTAGAACATAACCTTTACAATGAAAATGTTTTATTTTTCAGTTACCTAGAAACTATTGTCTGGGGATCACAAAGCTCTGTATTAGACTGTAATTAGGTATGTTTCACAACATCCCCACGAGGTAAATCACTAATTACAGCAGTTTGTTGAAATTAAAGTAAGTGGTTGGTAGTGACTATGCAATCTTGTATTATTACACTTCAGGCTATGATTGTATCAAATCTCAGAAGCCAAAAGGGTTGGGTCTGGCTGGCAGAAAAATAGAGAATGAAAGATTGAACTAGGCATTTGCAATTTTTTAAGAAGTCATGTGCTTACAAACACAAATCATGTTAATCTGGTCTGGAATAAATATCCTGGTGCTTTGGTGTCAGGGGGAACCCTGGAGCTTGAGAGGCTGTATTGTGACAGACAGATAAATCCTACAGTCTGTCCTGATCAGCTGTAGCCATATAAAAATCCTGTATTTTTATTGAACTGATTGTTTTGCAAGACAAGTATATTGGTCATGGCAGCATGGAAAAAATCACAACTCAGAAATTTACATTTGCCTTGCATCTGGTCACTGCAAATGTACAAATTACTTTATTTTCTTGCATTGAAATACCTTTGTGATGTACTACTGACATCAATGATGAGGTATCACAGTATCACAGTATTACAGTCCCCCTGCTGGAGAAGGAACACCTAGATAAGGTTACACAGGAATGTGTCCAGGCAAGTTTTGAATGTCTCCAGGGAAGGAGACTCCACAACCTCCCTGGGCAGCCTGTTCCAGTGTTCCGTCACCCTCACTGAGAAGAAGTTTCTTCTCAAGTTTAAGTGGAACCTCTTGTGTTCCAGTTTGTACCCATTACCCCTTGTCCTATCATTGTTTGCCACTGAGTAGAGCCTGGCTCCATCCTCGTGACACTCCCCCTTTATATATTTGTATACACTAATAAGGTCACCCCTCAGTCTCCTCTTCTCCAAACTATAGAGACCCAGCTCCCTCAGGCTTTCCCCATAAGGGAGATGCTCCACTCCCTTAATCATCTTCGTTGCCCTGCGCTGGACTCTCTCCAGCAGCTCCCTGTCCTTCTTGAACTGAGGGGCCCAGAACTGGACACAATATTCCAGATGGGGTCTCACCAGGGCAGAGTAGAGGGGAAGGAGGACCTCTCTCGACCTACTAACCAACCCCCTTCTAATACACCCCAGGATGCCATTGGCCTTCTTGGCCACAAGGGCACAGTGTTGGCTCACGGTCATCCTGTCGTCCACTAGGACCCCCAGGTCCCTCTCCCCTACACTGCTCTCTAACAGGTCGTTCCTCAACCTATACTGGAACCTGGGGTTGTTCCTGCCCAGATGCAGGACTCTACACTTTCCCTTGTTATATTTCATCAAGTTATTCCCTGCCCAACTCTCCAGCCTGTCCAGGTCTCGCTGGATGGCAGCACAGCCTTCTGGCGTGTCAGCCACTCCTCCCAGCTTAGTGTCATCAGCAAACTTGCTGACAGTACACTCAATTCCCTCATCTAAATCGTTGATGAATATATTAAATAATACTGGTCCCAGTACTGACCCTTGAGGCACTCCACTAGTTACAGGCCTCCAACTAGACTCTGCCCCATAGACTACAACTCTCTGGCTTCTCTCCTTCAGCCAGTTCACAGTCCACCTCACTACCTGATCATCCAGACCGCACTTCCTCAGTTTAGCCGTGAGGATGCTGTGGGAGACTGTGTCAAATGCTTTGCTGAAGTCAAGGTAGACCACATCCACCGCTCTGCCATCATCCATCCACTGTGTTATTTCCTCATAAAAGGCTAAGAGATTGGTCAAGCATGATTTCCCCTTGGTGAAGCCATGTTGACTGCCCCTCATAACCCTCTTATCCTTGATACTATATATTTTTAATGGATGTACAGAAAAAGAGCTTAGTTGCCAAAAGACTGCATATATTAGATTGGCAATATTGCTAATCTAATGTAATAAATAATTGTATAGATTACACAGTGGTCTGGAAGGACTGTTAGACTTAAATAGCATGAGCTAGAAGAGGTGAGGGTGTGTCAGACTCCCTGCAGTCGCAAACTGCCTCCAACTGGCCTAACTGGACACTCCATGGAAAAACCTGGAGCACAGAGGACTCAGTGAAAGACTAGGATCCAGCCAGCCAACGGCTGACAATTCAGATGAGTGGCTCATAGGGTAAATCCATCTGGTAGCTGAGATGTAAACCTGTACTTTGTGTGGTAGTGCTGGCTGAGCTGTTGACTTGAACTACAGCATTAAAATCTCAGAGCAAAACCTGCCCAGGCGTAAGGTTTCACAGTTCAGCTGATGCCACAAAGGGTGTCAGCCACCCCCTTCCTTAGCAACTATTTCTAGCCAATTGGTCTTGCTTCCTCCTTTCTGCTGTCCCCAGGGCAAACCTTTCAGTCTGCTCAACCAGCAGGGAACTTCTCTACTTCTTTTCTGGGGCTTCTCCTTTCTTCTTCCTCTTCTGCTTCTACAGCAAGAGTGTCATCCTTTATCTTATGCAAAAGGCCTCCGAAGTATTGTAAGTAGCTATGTACTGCGTGTAGGTGGCTATGTGCTAGGGGCTGCAGGTGTGGCTGCTGTGAGGAGAGGCCAGGGGTTGCCACACTGGACACAGCCACTTCCAGATAGCTCTAACAGACCCACCACAGGGCAAAGCTGAGCCCCTCAGTGACACCAGTGACACTCTCTACCAAAACATGCTTGAGAAAGGGCAAAACCACTACATAGCAGTGTGAGAGAGAGGAGTGAGGGGTGAAAGTGAGGAACAACAGTGTAAACACCAAGGTCAGAGAAGAAATGGAGGGGGGGTGCTGGAGCAAGGGTTTCCTTGCAGCCATGGAGAGGACAACAGTGGAGCATATATCCACACTGCAGCCCATACAGAACCCCATGATGGAGCAGGTGGATATTTTCTGATGGAACAGCAGCCTGTGGAGAGCCCACACTGGAGTGCTTCTTGAAGGACTGCCGCCCATGGAAGGACCCAGGCTGGAGCAAAGCGTGAGGAGGAAGGAGCAGCAAAGAGAAGCAGGGACAGACTGATGGCAATCCCCATTCCCCAACTTCTCTGCACTGCTTGAGGTGTGCTGGTGGCTTGTAGGGGAGTCGGAAGTGCATGTGTGAAGTTGACCCAGGGAAAGTGTTGTTTTCATTTAGGCTTTGTTTCTCACCACCAAACTATTTTTAATTGGCAAACAATTAATTTTCCCCAAGGCAATTCTGTTTTTCCTGTGTCAGTAAATGGTAAATGATCTCCCTGTCTTTATTTCAACCCACAAGCTGTTTCATCTTTTTACCCCTGGTCCTGTTGAGGGGGGCAGTGACTGAGTAGATTCATGGGCAGCTGGCCAAGGTTGACCCACTACCAGGTAACAGAGCCTCAGAAGCAGTGCTAAAGTCTTTCCCCTCTACCCCAGGAATCAAATCTGCAAAATCTTAGGGAAAGTGTCTTTGAATGGTTGGATGGTCTGATAAAATCTGTGATTTTTTTTTATTATTATTATCTATTTTTTGAATTCTTTTTTTTTAATTTGGGGAAGGAGTAACTCCAAACAACAACCCACAACCCACAAAGAAGGCCCAACTACTTGCAAAGAAAGGTGCAGAGCTATAGGACAGTGTGGGTTCTCATGCTGCCACTTGCTGCTGGTACTTTGACACATTCACAAAGAAGCCAGGGAAGCTGAATCTTCTGGTGCAGTCCCCTCGGAAGCACTATCAAGGCAGCTATAACCCATCCAGAGGGTGAGGCACCTGCCTACTGGACGGGTTGCACCGGCAAAAGATGACTTGATGGGGTGGTTGGTTTGTATTTACATGCTGCACCTGACATTTTGCTTCTGGTTGGAACTAGATGATCTTTAAGACCCCTTCCAATCCAAACCGTTCTGCGGTTCTGCGACGTCCATAGGGGAACCCGCGCACGGCCTCAGCTGAGACACGGGCTCCCACGGGCTCCCACGGGCTCAGCCGTTTCCCCCCGTTAGGGCTGGCGGTTCATGAGCGGTTACCAAGCCCTCAGACCCGGTGCCGGGCAGGTCGGTGCCGTTCCCGCGGGACGGGTGTGGGGACACCCTCACCGCTGCGGGAGAGGGGGCAAGCAGTCACTGAAGACCCCCGTTTCCGGCGGGCCCCTCAGCTCGGCGCGGCCTTCCAGCTGCCAGACACGGCCGCGGCACTGCCTGGTGGCGGCTGGGGCAGGGCGGGACGAGCCGGGGAGCGGGTGGAAGTGTTGCGGTCGCTACGGGAGACGGCGAGAAACCGGAAGCGAGCGGGGCGGGGCGGCGAGGAGCTGCGCTGGCGCGGGCTCCCCCGCTCCCAGCCTCTCCTCGCAGGCCGGTCGGGTGGCGGCGGTGCCAGTGCCGTCATGGGTTGCTGCTTCTCCCGCCGCGGCAAGCCTGCCCAGGACCGGCAGCAGCAGCAGAAGCAGCAGCAGCAGCAAGAGGCGCCGGGGGGAGCCGGCCAAGATGAGGCGGCTGGAGAGGAAAAGGCGCCGCAGTACAGCTGGGACCAGCGAGCCAAGGTATTGCACCGGCTGTTGTCCCTGCGTTGGGCGGGGGTATCGGGTGCCGGGTAGTCGGGCAGCCCCTTACTCTGTTCTGCCGGCTGGGGTAGGGGAGGTGTGGGGCTGTAGCCGTGGCGGGGCCCCGGCGCCGGGCGGTGACCGCTGGACACAGGGCGGGAAGGGGGGGGGGGAGCGGTTAGGGGGTTCCCCCGGTACCGCTGTTACGGCTCGGTCCGCGCAGTTAAGTGCGTTTGTTAAGCAATTGAGAAGTGTTTAGCTTAAGGATTTTACCTTCGGTTTCGCAAGAGGAGAGGGCAGTGCTTTGGCCCCTGTGGCTCGCCTGTGCGCGCGGAGGTCCCGGTCCGGCTGAGCTGACCGCGGCGGTGTCGGCGGCTGCCGCGCCGACCCTGCTCCCCCGGGGTGGGACGCACCCCATGGTGGTGGCCGTCAGCTTGAGCTGGGACAGGCGTTGCGGGTGATGGGCCTGTGTCTGTCGGGCAGTAGCGGTCTTTGCCGGCCTGAAGTGAAGTCCCCGCTCCTGGTGCTTCAGTGGAGGTATAGAACTTGTGCCCTGGTTGTCAGTAATGTTTATTCTTCCTGCTTGGGTTGTTGGGATCTTTCTGTTTAGGATGTGTTTTGGGGGTATTTTTGGGTGTGTGTTTGTTTTTGAAAGCGATTGGAACTAGAATTACCCTATCAGTCACTGAAGTGATACATGAAGATAAATCCATCCCCGTGCTGTTTCTTGACCTGTTGAAGGCAGCAGGAAGGTTCAAGCAGGAAAGCACTGAAGTGCTGGACTAAATGTATTTCTCACCACCCTCATTTCAAGTTTCACTTCCTCATATGACATTATAGCACTGCTAGGTCTCCCCTCCTCTCCACCTGCCTTTGGGGTGGCAGGAAGGGGAAAACAGCTGTAAACTCGATGTGGTTTTAACAAACAAAATCCTCAAACCTTTAGGCCTCATTTTGCAAGTGTAGAAAAGAAAATGCGTTAACTTATTTGAATGCTTAGCTTGTTTGGTTTTTTAAACATGGCTCTAGGGTGTCCCTTAAGTCTTCCAAGTAGCTTAAGACAAACTGAGATTGAGAGAGCATGCACATGACCCTGGGGAATTGGTTCCTTGAGGATAAAGATGGTTGATCTGTGTAGGGCTTGTTGCTTTGACTTGCTAGTGGATATTTGCAGTGCAGCACTGGATAGAGAAGAGGAGCATGGCAACCTGTTACTTCTATGGAGGCTTCTCACAAGGAGTGGGCTGCATTGAAAGCCTGTCTTAGAGCAGAAGAAGAAATCTTAGTCCTGTGCAGAAGTAATTTACTAAATCAGCATTTGAAATATTTTATTTATTTTTTATTTTAGAGCAAATTCGTCAGCTAAAGCTTGAGAGATATGAGACTTTCAGTCCAATCTGCTTATATGGTGCTAACTTCTGAAACTAGGAGGAGGAAAGCCAGGACATAGACACACTTGATTTAGAGAACAGTCAGCCTTGTTGCTAGGGAGATGGCCATTGCTGATGTGCTAGAAGTAGGTTCAAGCTAACAGACAAAGCTATTGAAGCACCAATAATCCATTTCGGGGGGGGGGGGGGGTGAGCAAAGCATGTAATATATTGCATGTACAACAATTTCCTCCTTTCTGTAAAAGACTCTTAGAAACCAGAAGAATCTGTGAGCCTGGGCTGTGCTACTGAACTGGGAAAGCTGACAAATTAGCTGCTTGATTTAGTACTACACAGCTTAAGAATGGCTGTTTTAAACCCATTTTCTTTTGTTGTTTTCAGCTTTATCTTGCACTGGGCTTTGGGGGGCGTACGCTTAGTATATTAAACCAGGAAATCAGTTCTGATACTGTAAAAGAATGCTGAACACTTAGTGTGTTAAACATGTTGATCCCAGTTTCTATTAAGTGTTAGTATGTTAATGTGGTAACTTTAAGTATTGTCTCTGATACTTTTAATAACATATTGATGCACCATTAGGGTTGGGAGTGTGTTTCTCGTTTTAGGCTCTCCTACCCAGTGATGCAGTTCTGGTTATATAGTGCAGTCCTTCAAACAGGTCTGGCAACTGCCTGCTGTTCTTCTAAGCTATCCTCTGTACATTCTTACTGGTGGGTAAGCCTTGCTACTCAGACATTCCAGCTGTCTTCCTGTAAACTAGTGACCTGCTGAAACTCTCGCTGTAGTGAGACTGCTAGCTGACAGCTGTGCTGTAAAAAGCTCTGAACCTGAGTAGTTCCTCCAGTGAAACTATTTCTTCTGCTTCTGAAGTAGCTTTGCTACTGTAATATATTTTAATTATGTTCTGATGGCAAAAGGTTATTAGTATTGGTACTGTTTGCTAGCGTAGACCTAGCCAAAGAGTAATATGACGATATCCTAGTCATATTATGTATAATGTAACATATAGTCATATGTATGTATGTATGTATGACTATGTATCCATATATAGTCAAACAGTCTCCAGAGAATGTTGTAACTTAGTGCTTAAGGGCACCAAACCCATGCAAGTATTACAAGAGATTGTCCAGAAGGACCTTGACACATAACTCCTGTATAATAGTCCCGAAAATTGACCATGCGGTAGAAAACTTTAAATACAAAATATTATAAAGTGCTGATAGTTGAATTGAAATAAAGGCAAGTATATGAATTTGCATGGCCTTTTCAGATTACTACATGACCTCATTTAAGTGAGGACAGAAGCCTGTGTTTTTAAAGTATACAAAAATTAATCAAGTTTAGGTTGCAGTGCAAGTCTGTTGAGATCTCTGTAATGCTTGCTGACCCATGGGTTCGGAGAACTGAGTAAAGATTACTTGTGGTGCAGTGGAAGAATCAAAGGATCAGATATCTCAAACAGAAGGGAAAAGGATGAATATTCAGTTTCTCTGGGATTCTTAGACCAGGAGACTATGTACAGCACAGTTATTAGAGTTTATTGTTACTGCATTGCATTCTGGGGACTTGCTGCGTGTTGATGTCATTCAGCTGTTGAGAGAGTCTCCTTCTGACCAAGTGTGAGAGGAACTAGGTGGTGCTCAGCCCTCCTCAGTCTTCAGCTAGGTTTCCACCTGAAATGTAAGATTTTACTTCTGCTCCTGGACTCCCTTTTCTTTTCCTACCTGACTACCTTCTCTGTGACAAATGTTGTTTACATGTATGACCAGAGTGATGACTACAGAACTAACTGAATATGGGTACATAGAGATGGGAACGGGGGTTCATGTCTTATTATGGCAGATATACCCAAGTGCTATGACCTTTTCTGCATGAGAAGAAACACAAAAAGCTTCATAGTCTTTTTTTGCTGTTGTCTCATGTTCAAAGAAATAGGATTAGGATTGCAATGGTATTTAAAGCTTAGAGGGACTTTCCCTCCCAGATAATTTTTTCTTTCAGAAGGAACAAGTATGGTTTTGTTTTTTGTCAGTTGACTTGCAACTTGACTGCTTTAGTTGATAGGAAACACACAGCTATCATTGCTGCTTATGATGGCTGTATTTAAGCAGTTTTAAAACCTCAGAGGTTTAACTTTCTATATAAACCATGATCTTTTGTTATTAACCTTATGTTCGAGGACTGTGCTAAAATGGTCTGAGCTGATGTGGGCATTGTGAACTACCTAGATCTCATTTAGGTAGCTGCTTTATATCTTGTTTTGGAATATAAATAAAGTCACCTTTTTTTTTTCCTGTAACTAAACAAATATTTTGTCCTTAAATCCAAAGCACCTCCCTTATGCTTCACAGTGCACCAGAACTGCTGGTGTGTTTCTCAAAATGTAGACCATCAATTGAGAAAAGGTCTGTAGGTTCATATTAAACAATATTTCCCATGAAGTCAGATATAGGCATGTGGTAGCTTCCTTTCTTCTTCCTCTTCTATTTGCTGTATTTGGCAATGGTTTGCTGCTCAGAAAAGTATGAGTATGACCAGTTTATGCTATTACAGGTACTCTGGAAGAGAGGGAAGATTACAAAGAGTTGAATGAAATGTGCATTCAGACTGTTATATTTGCCATGTTTGAAGTCAGGGTGTGCAGGAGATGTTCCAAGATTAAAATCTGTATGCTAGTGACTGGAACTTGGACATGCTGTCCCTCATTCCACCTTTTCTTGTTGCATAAGAATCTAGAAATCTGCCAGAGGTGAGTAACTTCAACAGTCTCCAGAGAATGTTGCAACTCGGTCCTTAAGGGCACCAAACCCACGCGAGTATTGCAAGAGATCATCCAGAGGGACCTTGACACACTTGAGAGGTGGGCCAATGCCAGCCCCATGAAGTTCAACCAAGCGAAGTGCAAGGTCCTACACCTGGGTTGGGTTAATCCCAGGTGCAGCTACAGGTTGGGTGGAGAAGACATTCAGAGCAGCCCTATGGAGAAGGACTTGGGGGTGTTGGTCACCAGAAACTTAAAATGAGCCGGCTTCAGTGTGCATTTGCAGCCCAGAAAGCCAACTGTATCCTGGGCTGCATCAAAAGGAGCATGACCAGCAGGTCGAAGGAGGTGATCCTGCCCCTCTACTCTGCTCTCATGTGACCTGACTTGGAGTATTGTGTGCAGTTCTGGTGTCCTCAACATAAAAAGGACATGGAACTGTTGGAACAAGTCCAGAGGAGGGCCAAGAGGACGATCAGAGGACTGGAGCACCTCCTGTATGAAGACAGGCTGAGGAAGTTGGGGCTGTTCAGCCTGGAGAAGAGAAGGCTGCGTGGAGACCTCATAGCAGCCTTCCAGTATCTGAAGGGGGCCTGCAAGGATGCTGGGGAGGGACTCTTCATCAGGGACTGTAGTGATAGGGCAAGGGGCAATGGGTTCAAACTTAAACAGGGGAGATTTAGGTTAGATATAAAGAAGAAACTCTTTACTATGAGGGTGGTGAGGCACTGGAACAGGTTATCCAAAGAAGTGGTAAATGCTCCATCCCTGGTGGTTTTCAAGGCAGGGTTGAACAGAGCCTTGGGCAACATGGTCTATTATGAGGCATCCCTGCCCATGTGTGTTCCTTTATGTTGAGGGAGACAGTTTTACTTACTTCCATCAAAACAGTACAGGAACAGTTACTTCTCTTCAGAAGGAGAAGTTCAGAGGTACCAAAACTTACAGATTTTTTTAAAATTTGGCACTTAAGCATGTCCTTCTAAACCGCTCTGCTATAAAACGCCTCTGTAGCAGCAGTAGCTTGTCCTACACAGTGGCCTTTTGTCGTGCTTTAAACCCAGTCAGGTAACTCGTTCACTCACTCCCCCCCTTCTTTCCCTCCCCCTACTCCCAGAGGGATGGAGAGGAGAATCGAAAAGAATGCAACTCCCATGGGTTGAGATAAGAACAGTTTAGTAACTAAGGTATAACACAAATCACTACTGCTACCACCAATAATAACAATGATAAAGGAAGTAACAAGGGAAGAGAATACAACACCTCAGCACCAGCCGACCGATAACTCGCCCCCCCCAGCCCGACCAAGCACCGACTCATACCTCCTCCAACCCTGCAGACCCAGCCCTTCTGGATAACTCCCAGTTACATCCCGGGCATGATGTGCTGTGGTATGGAATACCTCTTTGGTCAGTTTGGGTCAGGTGTCCTGTCTCTGCTTCCTCCCGGCTTCCCCTCCTCCCTGGCAGAGCATGAGGCTCACAAAGTCCTTGGCCAAACCAAAACATCACTATCAGCTCTGTTCCCAGGCCGAAAGTCAAAACACTGCACTGCACCAGCTACCAAAAAGGAGAAACATGACTGCTACTGCTGAACCCAGGACACCTTTATAGAGATGTATGAAACTTCCCATCCACCTTGCAATTTTATTTAGGCCTAGGTGAAAAACATTGTTTAGTCAGCTAACCACAGCTTACAGCCAGTTTCAGATGAGAGCGCTTGAGAGAGTAGTAGTTGAGTTTAATGGTAAGACAAATAAATCAGCTTATTGCCAAAATCAGGAGCTCAATTTTATTTCCCTGCCATGAGCTGGGTCATGCCCTGACACGACTCTTACATCTCAGTTTGTTCACCATGTTAAGGAGTTTGCTGAATGCAGGGGAATGGTCACTTCCCTAGTCCTGCTGGCTATGCTATTTCCAATGCAAGCCAGGATGCCGTTTGCCTTTTTAGTTCATGCTCACCATCTCTGAAGTCTGCACTATCATCAGCAGGTTAGTATTAAATCCTTGTGTCCACCTTCCTTCCCCTGACAGTCAGCGCTAACTGCTTCTTAAGCTCTGTCTTTGCAGCGTAGCAAAAAAGCAGGCTAGAAAGACCAACACCAGCAGAAGAAAGTAACCTCTGCAGCCTCATATAACCACAGTCAGGGCTATGTAGATATCTCTGTCTGTTCATCTGGGCAACTAATGCTGTAAAATCATAAGCATGTGGCAGGTCAGCAAAAATCATCTATTTATCCTTTGCATTTGGATAAAGCTTCAAAGAACTTTGTCCAAATCTACCCATCCCACCCACACAGTTGCTTTACTCTCCATCCCTCAATACATTCCAATGTCTTTTCCTCAGGCTGGTATAAGTCCAAATGATGACAGTATTTATAGAAGCAACTTTCAATGCTTTCAGCTGAATTTAAGGAGTTTTTAGAGTAGATATGAGTCATGCAGTAATAGATATGGGCATAGTTCAAGAGTTGAAACCTTCTAACAGAAGTGCTATGTGCAGGTTCAAGAATTACTCCATAGAGGGACCTAAACTAATCAGATATGATGACGAAAAAGTAATCCCTGCTTGCACAATATTCCTCCCCCTCGACAGAGGTATTCAAGTCTATCTTGGTTATCAGCAATGTCACTGGTGATAAATTTGTTATGAAGGGCTGAAGGACAAATTGTAAGGAGCAGGGATTTTAAAGAACAAAGAAGGGAGAGAAGTGAAGGCAAAAATTTGTCATGGTTGCTTTGAACTCTAGGAAGCTCTGCTGCAGCAAGTGCAGAGTGTATTAAGCAGCTTTCCTTCCTGTAAACACTTGTCTTGCAAGAAGGTCAGAGGCCATACATGAAGGCTGTAGATAATGTACATCCCTTCAACCACCATTATGCAATTTACTGGCACTAAGACTAGAGAGCTCCCATTTGGAAGATGACTCAGAAGTACTAGACCTTCACAGTTACTGTACTTAGAATGGCTGAGGATCCCAACAGCTTCTTGAACTCTTTCTGGTACGGCTTCATGTCTTAACAAGACTTTTTCACTGGGTCCATCAGAAAAGGAGTTTCAGTCAGCAATGATATGTCACCACAAATATGAGAAGTTACTGCTGTACTTAAGGGATTATGGTTTTCCCCTAGTCATCTCAGTCTAGCTAGCTGAGCAAACAAGAATTTGCAGAGTCTTTCTAAACCATTTACAGGAAGGTCTTCTCTTTTAAATATTGTTCTCAAAAAAGTAATTCCCTGTCTGTTTAAATCACAACAGATGGTGGTTCAGCTTTGGACTTATATACAGCTGATGACATCCAAGAGTCAGCTGCTGACCCAGTGACATTAAAAGCTGCAGCTATATGGTAGACACACAGACTTAAGAGGCTTTATGTGCTATTTTTGTCAGTAGGGGAATTAACAGAAAGAAAACAAGCAAGAAAAGTGCATTCCCAGGCCTAGACACTTCTGCATGTTCCTACTTCATAGAATCATAGAATGGTTTGGGTTGGAAAGGACCTCAAAGCTCATCTAATTCCTAATCCCCTGCCATGGGCAGGAGCACCTTCCACTAGACCAGGTTGCTCAAAGCTCTATCCAACCTGGCCTTGAACACTGCCAGGGATGGGACAAAACTAATACAAATATCTTATATATGGATCAAATGTAAAACATTTCATGAGACTTAAGACCTTAGAGGGTCGGAATCCTGCTACATGGCTATCCTACTATCTGTACTATGTGGCTGTCTCCATGATGCATACCTTATCATTTGAGCCTCATAATTTTGCTTGAAATCCTTCCAACTAGCTTTCCTGGATGTGTTCTAGTGATATTAAGTATGATTGAGGGGAGATTCCTAGGAAGCCATCTTCATTGTCTCAATTTGCATTTTATTTGGAAGATTCATCAGCTGCAAACTGTCTGGAGGTCAGGTATGTTGTATATAAAGGAGTACATTTTAGAAGTTGGTGGAACTAGTATCTTAGCTTCCATTAGCTGTGCTGGACTAAAGCTTCACAGGCTGAGCTGGTTTAGTGGATGTCTGGCACTAGCCCATCCTGGTTCATGCCTTTTTTTGGTCTTGAAATCTCATGCAAATGTTTGAAATTCTGGGGAGGAGGAGTTTTTTTACAAGTTAGGCTATACAGAAACTTTTGTAATACATTAACACTGATTATCGTGCAGCAAAATTTAGGGCCCTCAGGCAGAAAATCAAAAGCAGGTTTGTGAATTGGTTTTGTGTTAAACTAGTTCAGGTACTTGTATACTTCTAAATGCTATTTTAATAAGCTTTCACAAGAGGGCAGAGTAGAATTTGCTCTGGGAATTATAGTTGTCTTGAGACTTAGGTCTATCTGGAAATGAACCAGCTCGGATTCCTTTGGTGTTACGACAGCAGGGGTTGTATTATTCATGCTCTCCACCTGTATTGCAGACCATCCTGGGCACCATGTGGCTCTTCAGTCCCTGCTCCCCAGTAGAGAAAGCCACAGCCTTTCTCAAGTGTCTCTCCTTGGCAGTGGGATGCTGGAGCATGGAGGAGGCGATGTCAGTAAACATGCCTCTGCACCACCACTGCCAATATTTGCCTGTTGGTTGTAGCTAAAACAATCACGTAGCTGTTGTTAGCCCAGGAATCCTGTCGTTGTTAGCACAAGATAATGCTGTGGCACAGATAAGTGAGGTCTTTGTAGTTTGCAAACATAATAAAGAAGATGCTGCTTGAAAGCAGCAGGGTTTCCTTGCATCATCTTGAGATGTGGTAAAATATGACTGAGAAAGCTACTTGAAAAGGGAATACTGTGTATCTGTATGAATCTGTAAGTTTGGCCATTTCATTTATTACAGTTATTGTATATATGAATATATATGTCTATATGAATATATATGTATATACATATATATGAATATATATGTATATATGAAACAGTTTAGAGGCCACAGAGAAAACTAGCTGCCCCTGCCTTCATTCTGTATTAGAGGACAAACTGAGTTAGTTGGGTTTCTTCCTGGAGCATCTCAGAAGTATAGTTTCAATTCTTCATTGTGCATTCTAGTAGTTTAGATAAAAGATCTGCTTCTAATCTTTCATCACTCTTCAAAGAGTTTTCTGGCAGGTTATCCTGTACAATTCAGTGCTACCTCAGTTAATACAAGTGAATTCACATTTAGCATTATAATAGTCTCTGTATGGGGAAGCTTTCATGTTTTCTGTTTTTTTTCTTCCTTCTTCAGATTGACCCCAAAGATTACACATTTTCTGGACTTAAAGATGAAACTGTGGGCCGGCTGCCTGGAAAAGTAGCAGGGCAACAATTCATCATTCAGGATTGTGAGAACTGTAAGATCTACATATTTGACAATTCTGCTACAATCACTATTGATGACTGTGTAAACTGCCAAATCTTTTTAGGACCAATAAAGGGCAGTGTGTTTTTCCGTGACTGCAAAGATTGTAAATGTATAGTGGCCTGTCAACAGTTTCGCGCTCGGGACTGCAAAAAGCTGGAGGTATTTTTGTGCTGTGCCACCCAGCCCATTATCGAGTCCTCCACTGGTATGAAATTTGGATGTTTCCAGTACTATTATCCTGAGCTTGCTTTACAATTTAAAGATGCTGGACTGAGTATCTTCAATAACACATGGAGCAACATCCATGACTTTACCCCTGTGTCAGGAGAAAATAACTGGGGCCTTTTGCCTGAGAATGCTGTAGTCCAAGATTATGTTCCTCTGCCCAGCTCTGAGGAGCTGAAAGCTGTCAGAATTTCTACCGATGTTACAAGGAGCATAATACCAGTAACTCGAGGGCAGAGACAGAAAAACAGTGATGAATCGTGTTTGGCTGTGTTTTTCGCTGGTGACTACACAACCGCAAATGCCAGGAAGTTAATTGATGAGGTGAGCAACCTTTGTCTTCATTCAGCTGTTTGAATTTCTAACTGAAGTTGCCTCTAGACAGCCTCTGGTGCTCCCTGAAGGGATAACCCAGAGGCCCTGCTTGTCTACTAACCATACTGGTCAACTGCACTGTTTAAAACCTTAAAGCAAGGTAAGAGACTGGATCTGATCTGTTGTTTTACATCTGACATTCTGGGACTAGCACTTCTATCCTGTAATAGTTCCAGTGTACTTTTCTGTTATGGCGCACACCAAAGCTATGTTCTGAAGAAAATGCTTAGTTGGTTTGGTGAACTTGGCCAAGTGTAGTGAGTGATAGGCAATGCCTGTGAAAGGCAAAGAGCCAATTAACTTGTTAGCTTGCTGCCCTGAAAGTCACAGCTAACAAAACAGCCTGGCCTGAAAGTTTCACCAGTACTAACAGGAACTTTAAAAAACCCCCAACGTGTTAAATTGTATTCCCCCTGCCACCCAGTATTGGATTTTTTCTCTGGAAAAGGCAGTGAGTGTGTGTCACAGCTGATCAGCTGTCTTCCATTACTGAAATAGCTGGTGCTGTCTCTTCCTTTTTTTTTTTTTTCTTTTTCTTTTTTTAACTTCGAGGCAGCAGCTCCAAGCTTGGCAAGATTTGGGGCTTTCCTGGGGCTAAAACCTGGGAGTGGCTGGCTGCTTTTAGCACCCTGGAGTGCCAGGGATGACAGAGCAGAACCAGTAACCATGAGCTACAGCTTCCAACAGAAGAGGTATCTGCAAAAGCTGCAGATCCCAGTGCTGTATGATCAACAAAACAACCGATGGAGTTCTTTCCCTTGTGTTTTAACTTCAGGGAAAGAAAGCTGTGGGGAGTTTCCATGCTCCTCCTTCCCCCCACTGCTCATTTGTTTTTTTATGGAACTGAGCTACTAACAGCTACTTGAGTGAAGGGAGATAATGATACTTAGGGTATCTGGAGAAGGAATACTGTAGTAAAGAGGATAATAGATGTGTTTTCTGTTAGTAGTTCTTTAGAAATTAGAGTTAAGACAACACTAAAAGCCTAGTTAGTGAAATTCTGTGGAAATCTTGCAGCTCTAGGTTAATGGACGCTGTGGAAGTACAAATACAGTTGCTCCTTTTCCACATGCTTTTAGTTTTGTATCAGATTTAAAGTAAAAAGCTGCATGTGTTCCAAAGTTTGTAACTATTTTTCCAAAATGGAAAACTGTAGCAGTGGATAGATGAGAGTTTGAGCTAACGCTTAACTGAACTATTGCACACTAATGAGAGCTAACTGCTTGACTCCAGATGTTGAATGCTTTTAACTTCCATTAGTTTCAACTTATGAGAGATTGTGAGGCAAAAAACACAACCCTGGGCCATCATATAAACCAAAACCATTTGCATTTACTCCTCTAGGTGCACTAGGCCAGAGAAGAAAATCTGGATGAATGGAATGAAAATAAACAGAAATCTAGAAAAAGCAATGGTTTATGAAAAAAAAATAAAAAAGGGACCCTTTCCTCTGTGGCTTGATGTGTGTGTGTGTGAAAAATAATCTGGATATTTGAGCTGAACTCTCTGCCTTAAAAGTATTTTTAACATGAATTCTTTCTCTGTTAACAGATGATTGGTAAAGGCTTTCAGCTGGTACAGACTAAAGAAGTTTCCATGAAGGCAGAGGATGCTCAGAGAGTTTTCCAGCAGTGTGCATCGGAATTCATTTCACTCCTTGAAAAAGGTGAGTTTGTATTATTTGCTTTCCCTTGATACAGGTATCTAGCTGTCACTAGGGAGTTCTGGAGAAGAAAGAGGAATGAAGGACAAATTTGTGTTTCAAGGGCGTAGTGTAAACCCAGTTGAGATGAGTTTTGGAAGCCTCAGTGAGGTCCTAAACTAGCCAAAACTCCTGAAGGCATCAGAAATGAGCTGTTCCACGTGTGATTTGTGGCTCTGCCCCCCCTCTAGTGGTGCAACCATATAGCTCAGGAGCAGTGGCACAAGCAGATCTGTCGGGAGTGGTGAAAGCTCACCCTTTTAGACTATTTCTAACTTTTCACCATTGCTGCTCAATACCCAGATGTTCAGTTTTTCCGTATATATATTAAAGCAAATAGGTATAGATATGTATAAAGCAGGCAAGTGTTAAATTCCTGGTTTAACTAGTGTACTGTCAGAGTATTTCAGAAGCCTTTTTATTGATCTGACCGTGATTGTTTTTTGTCTTTTCCTGCAGAATTACCGACATCTTGCCATCTGTTATATGCTAAAGCTCAATATATGCTCCCAAACTTAGTAACAACGTTCAGGTTTTTTCATAGTAACATAAGAGGCTTACGATGCTCATTGCAAGAACAGACCAAAAGTTACTGTACTTATCAGATGGCAGTCTAGTTTAAAGGCTATTTTGCACCCATGTGGGAAGAAATAACATGTTCAAAATGAAACCAGAGAAAGGGGATCTGCAAATAGTGGGTGAGAACAAGTCTAAAATTCAGGCAGTTTGCTATCTTGGGACTGAGGCAAAAATGCCTGAATGACTCAGTCCTACTCCAGATGTCAGTGAAATGGCTCACTACTTGAGCAGTATAATCTGACTCACTTCGATGATGCCCTGCGCTCCTTAGTGGTTTTCTGCCATTGCTGCTGTTCAAGGAGTAAAACTGGAATTCTGCCAGAATCTCTGCAAAAATGAGCATGGAATTGCAGATATTTTGTTTTCAGATAACACTATACTTTGAAGCTATGGTTAAGTGTTTTTAATTCTTTATCTTGCATTATGGCTGCTCAAGCAAAAACCATAAAATACCTCTTGCAAGCTTCACAATTCCCTGTGCATTGAAAAATCTACTGTTTCAATGCCAAGCTTAAAAGTAGTATTGATTCTAGATGAAACTATCTTCTAGGTCCAGTGATTGCTTTGGAGTTTAATGGAGATGGTGCTGTGGAAGGATGTCAAAGCATTGTAAATGATGTTTTCAGTGGGACCAAGGTAAGCTGTTGTATTGCTTTTTTGGCAAAAAATGTCACAGAATGTCTGGGGTACTTAATGGAAAAGCCATACTGCTGACATACTGCATGGTCTTTTTAGGTTTCTAAATAGTAAAACCTGAATATCTTGTTTTTTGTTGGTTTTTGTGGATTTTTTGTACTCCAAACTCAAGTTGATTGTCAGGGACAAGAAAAATTGCCCTTGAAAGAGAGTACTAAATCCCCATCATAGCAATTGAAGAATAGAAGATTTCCACTTCAAACTATTATTTCACATGATAGTGAAAACAAGTTCTATAAATATAGCAGGGAAAAGCTCTACTCCAAGTCTTATGCTGAAGTCTGCGTTGTGATGTTCTAGTCTATTAAATCCTGACAAAGATAATATGATGGGATTTCAGGATTTCATCCTTTTTCAAGGTTTACTTTTGCAGTGTAGGATATTGCAGAATGCCTTCCTTCAAAGACACCACACCTCCTCTTTGCTTGCTGTCCCCATTTCTCTAAATGGCAAAGGTTTTGAGAAAGTTTCTGGAAATGATTAGAGCACTCTTGGTAACAAGAAAGTGACAAACCCTTTGCTGTTCGAAGAAGACTAGAATGTCTTTGAGACATAATGTCCATACAGCAACTTCCTGTCTTTTGATTCCTTTGAAAGAGTTACTAGGAACTAGACAGCCCAGTTTCTGGAAAAGGAGTTATCTTATAATAAGTCATCTCAAATGCAGCTGATGTTTTTGCTTTTTTCATGTTTGCTATTGCAGCAGCAAAAGCCTGATGTGTAGCAGGCTTTGATTTGGCTGTCAGTCTGGATAATCCTAGAACTACATTCTGGGCAATTCTTCTGACTCAAAAGTTATCACTGCAAATTTTACCATAAAAACGGCCTCTCTAAAACAAGAGCTTACAGTGCTGGGTTTTTTTGTTTGTTTGTTTGGTTTTTTGTTTGTTTTTGTTGTTTGTTTGTTTTTCTGTCATATGGTTAGCTTGTTTCCTTTTTCCATACAGAACAAAGCTGATACTGGGTAGGTAACTCACTGGTTCTTCTTGACCTTTTTCTTGACTCAAAGATTGAAGTGATATTGATTACTAGAACAAATAATATTTCATATTTTCCTAATTGGAAATGACTGGTGTTTGTTTATAACAACACTACGTCCTGACCTGAAAACCAGAAACCTCAGCCTGTGTACTTCATGCTTTGAAGTAACCATTGTTCTTGGAGGTGATTGGTAGTGTTGGGGTTTGGTTTCAAGTATGAAATTACTTACTGCATCTGGATTTAAAACTTCTGTTTACAGCCTGGTTACATGGTAAAATCTGCCTCACTTATAAAACACTTGCTGCACTGAATTAAGAAGCAGAACTTTAGTCTTCCTGAGAAGTATATATCTTTCTTTAGATAAAATGTAAGTCCAAAGCTTCTGATAAAAACTAGGTTTGTGCATGGATCCCTAGATAATGAAATATTATGAGTATACATTCCTTAAAAAATGCATTTCTTCCTTGGGGCACAATCTAGAAACAATTTAGGGATTAACAAACTTCAGACTTATTGCTACCAGAAGGTTCAGGAATGCTCTGTAAAATGGTTTCACTTCATTCTTGGCTGCCCTTATCATGTTTGGGAGTTGTTGTAGCACTCAGAAAGAATTATAGGTATCCTTGATCAAGAAACAACAACAAAAGCTCTTAGGAAGACATGTATCCTGTAAGACTTTGCAGGAGCTTAATCTGTTTTTAAGCAGGTGGCTACATTTGCATTTGAAAACCACAGTTAAAAAATACCAATTCATCAGTTAATAACCTTAATTTCACCAGGTTTTTGTTCCTGAAATAAATCCAACTTTAGGTACTCCAGTAAGGGTAGAAAAGTTCTTCAGCAATAGTACCACCACAGTTTTTTGAGCTGTTTGCTAGAAACAACATGTTACAAGGAGAACTCTATGCTCTGCACTGAAGTAGACTTTCTATTTGTGTGGACTGGGAGAGTCTGCACTCTTTACCTCTGACATTCTTTCTGGTGTGACTTTTTTGGCATGCTTTCTCATATTGTTCCTCCATCTCATCAATTCTTCATAAAATACTGTGCAAAATGTAAATCACAATATCCTGGTATTGAGGGGTGCTGAAACAAGATATTTAACTGTTGTGACTATGGTACTGATTGCTGTTCACCAAACAACTGCCGAATAATTAGTAGGTATTTTCAAGTCCTGTCAAATAGAAGTCTACCATGCATTCAAGCAGCAGTCTAGGAAACTCCTTGCTTTGTGGTGATTTTTCTTTTTTTTTTTTTTTTTTTTTTTTTTTTTTAATTTCATTTAGAAATTTACTGGGCAACAGGATATTCATCTTAAAACACAATTTAAGTATGAACAAGTTTCAGGAATTGTCATCATTTACAGTCACATGGTGTTCTGAGCTGAAGCAGAAAAGTGGTGACTGCTGTAGCAGAGTCATCTGGAATGACCCATTCCTGCAGTCCCAGATCACTTTGAAATAACTCACTTGGCTCTGCCAATGCTAGTGTGCTCAGACAGTGATGATTTTCTCTGGAGGTATAGAAAATATAAGATAGTAAGAACTCCAGTTTTTGATTGAGGCTATCACTTGCATGTACAGATTGAGGAACAGCCACAACACTGTCTGTTACACTGAACTATTTGGGCATTGCCTAAGGCATTTTTAGTAGGTACGCTGAAAGCTTTCAAAGATGACTGTCATGGAGCTTGGACTTTCACATGTGTTGATCAATTCTGCAAAAAGCAAACGTAACTGAAGTTATATAAAAACAAGTAATCATCTGACAAAGAAGCAGCCAAGTTTTTGAGAGGAATAGAGTGCAAAGGAGTCTCTTACAAACCCTGACTTCTTGTTAAAGGAAAGCGTAATGGTAGTCTGAAGTTTTTGTATGTTTGTTTTCCCCGCTCTCTCCTAGACAGAGTTTGAATTTACCGAGCAAAATACATCTAAAAGGGGAATATCTGAAGCTGTGGCCCCTGAATAATCAAGCCCAAATTTTCTAATTCTCATCATTGGAATGCTAGGGTTACTGCAGCTAGCATGTCGGTAGGAACAGGTGACAGTAACAGTGTGCATGAGGGCTGAGAGAATTCTCACACTATTCTATCACACAGTGGAACCCAGCCTCTCGAGAAATGCACATATAAAAATAACAATTACTGGCTCCAAATGAGCAAAAAGTACTTGAATGTGTTTATTAGTGATGTGTAACTATTTCCTTGTTTAATAAAACAGGTTTTTGTGTCAGAAAGCAAGGCATCAGCATCTCAAGATGTAGACAATTTCTACAACTTTGCTGACATGCAGATGGGAATGTGAAGTTTAACATGAAGGTGTTCACGTACGGTTTGTCTCAGCACTTGGATGTCACTTGGCTTGAATGTTGCAGTAGTATCTGAGAAGTTTTGTCATTTGGTTTTGTATTACTTATATATCCTTTTATAAAGCTATTGGTGGTTGTCATACCACATTACCTGAACTGGAGTAAATGGCATAGCTTCCAATGTGTGTTGTGTTTGAAACTTACATTTCAACTCCAGAGACAATGGAGGTTTTCTACTAACTTTTTACAGTGATTTCTAAATTTCTGTTGACGCTTAAATATTCCTTATCAACATCTAATGGTAATACACACTTGAGAAGTGCAGTGCTCGTACAAATTTGATGCAGTAGTAATTGTTCCCTTTAATGCAGACATGTTGTTTAGAAAGTGCATTTATGTGAAACTCGCTGCTTAAAACTCCCACATGCAAATTTGTCTTCACTGGGGGCCAGGGAGGAAGCTGTAGTCGTTGACTTTTTCTGAATGCTATTTTGAAATGAATTCTCCTTGTAGCATGCTTTCAGAAGCAGTGCATGACTTATAAAATGTACATCTGTATTATTCTGCTTCAGCATCTTTCTTGAGTAGTTTGCAGCAGTATTTATGCCGAGAACTATCATAACAGTGTTGTGGTAAGTGAGCACTTGGCAGGCTCTTCTGCTTTGAGATGAATTCTGAGCATGAGTGCTCCACTGAAGATGCTCTAAGGTCCACTCAGGGTCTCTGGTGACACGACTGCCTCCGGTATTCCCAAGCCATGTATGGAATATACATGAGGTTCCTTGGGACTTGGAGCATGAAGTTTCTGGTACTGTTGTTTGCTAGAAGGGCCATATAGCAACCAGGAGTCAGAGAAGGGCTCTGATGGCATTAAAATAACTCTTTCTTGCTAGACCCCCAGGGGAACAGTGTTACACTCAGTAGTAGTACTGAAAATTTGGCTGCAAAGTACTACATACAGCTGTAGGGTTTATTTTGTGTTGATTCTTAAAACAGACCTGAGAAGTGCTACTAGCATTTTGGGAGATACATTTGTTCTGTAAGGGTGTTTATTGCTATATAGTACATATTAGAATGCAAACCTATATGAATATTAAATACATGATTGATTTATTTTTGTACATTACATCCTTACTGATTTTTCTATATGTACTTAAAGTTTATGTCAAAGTTTACAAGCCCTCTGTAATACTTGAACAGTTTGCATGTGCAGACACACAAAACCAAATTTCTTAATTAAACCAGTAGCTTGCCAGTTTATGTAGCCTTTACAATCCATTGAATGGACTGGGGCTGTATTGAGGTGCTAAAGCAATCATTTCCTTGTTATGGTCATCTGTCACAAGGGAAGATGTTGTGCATCTTAACTGAAAATGAGTTTTGACTCCTCAGTTTGTGCTCAAGCTCCAGAAGCGGGTGGCTAAAAACACATCTCTCTCTTTCACGTGCTAATTTTTTAGAATTAGCACGTGAAAGAATGTGTTGTTCTGAAGTCCATGATTGTCATGCCCAGGAGATGTTCTGAGCTGTTGTTTTATTGCTACTAGGCAAATGCTTTCCATTAGTTTATATATCAAGAGTATGTCCTTGGGACCTCTTGTTCATGTTATCATAGATGAAATAAGGAAGAATATCTCCTGAAGTCGATAAACCATTGGTGTACTGAAGATAAGAAAGATACTCACTTCTGGGAGATGCTTTTATTTGACAAAGCAAAATGAAATCAAACAGCCACCAGAATTTGACTGGTAGCAGAAATTACCACTTTTTTGCCCTTAGCCAGCCAGGATTTAATTTTCTTTATATATGTGTGAGCAAAGGCTGTGAAAATACCTAAATACCTAAAAATCTTAGGTCAGTCTCCAAAGTACACCTCAACAAACACTTGCTGGAATTAATCTAGACACACACAGTAAATGTATTTTTTTTTGTATGGACAGAACATTGTGTCATGTACTTCAGAACTATCATTGTGTAAGTTGTCTAAGCAGTGCGTATTGGACCACCTTGGTCTCTAAATTTCTACATATAATACTTCCAAACTTATATGCTGACGCATGGTTATATGTATGTTCATAGTTTATTTTTTATATCATCAACCTGCTCTGGAAACAAAATGCCGAATTGATTTTTGTGACTACTTTTCCTGGGGGACAGGATGGTTAGTTAAAAATTAATCTAGGCTAGAATCAGTGGAAAAAAAATTTAAATGCTAGGAAAGAGCAGGATATTGCTTTTTTAACTTTTTTATTACCTTGATAGCCTGCTTACCAATCTGAAGTTTTTAATTAAAAAAAAACTAAATAATGAAGGACTTTCTTAATCCAATTATTTATCTTTTGGTTTCAGTTTCTTGCTAACAGGTGTTAAGAACACTTCTAGCTTAAGCATCAGGTACTGTATGCATTACAGAATGGTACATGCTCCATGTAGTCTTTATATGTTTGTTGTATAGCTTTTTATGTAATTTGTATTGCACTGTGAATGTGATTCATAATAAACATTGTACATCTAAACTCTGGATTCTGGAAGACTTTTTAAAGTTATAAAATATTGCAAACCGTAATTACATTATATTAAGTTTACAAACTGAAATCTGTGTTTAAGTGGGGACTTCAAATAGATACAGCTAATTGAAAATAAGCATTAACTCTGCGGTCAGCCATCTTCCAAAAAAGGTGAATTCTTGACAGCAGAGATTTCCCCCCAAAGTCACTGAGGATGTGATTAACTTTACACTGCAGTTTTTCCTAATAAAATGTGGAAGAAGGGTTTTGATAGCAAGCTGTAGAGAGTCAAGTAGAGAGATTCGTGGCTGGAGACTGTTAAAGTGCTTCTCCCTGATCTGTGTGTGCATGGAGTTGTTTCTTTTTGGTTTGTTTTTTAGCTTGTAAAAGTCTTGTGCTTTTAACCGTGCTTATCTCTTCGGTTATTGCATGCATGCGAGTGATGTGCTCACAGCAAAAACAGATTGTGGTGGTTATACTGGTAGAACTATTCATTTAGAATGCAGTTTCTTTGTAAATCCCATTTAGTGTCTGAAAACAGGTAAAAAGTCCTGAAAACAGGTAAGCACTAAATACATTCCCAAACTTGGCTTTAAACTGGTCAACATATATGAGAATCTTCTGTCTAGAGGTGGTCTAGGGCAATTTTATCATAGATCATTGAATGATTTGGACTAGAAGGGGCCTTAAGACCATCTACTCCTCTGTCATGGGGAGGGACGCCTTCCACTAGACCAGGTTGCTCAAAGCCACGTCCAACCTGGCCTTGAATACTGCCAGGATTGGGCAGCCATGGGTTCTCTGGGCAACCTGTTCCAGTGCCTCACCACCCTCACAGTAAAGAACTTCTTTATATCTAACCTAAATCTCCCCTGTTTAAGTTTGAACCCATTGCCCCTTGCCCTATCACTACAGTCCCTGATGAAGAGTCCCTCCCCAGCATCCTTGTAGGCCCCCTTCAGATACTGGAAGGCTGCTATGAGGTCTCCACGCAGCCTTCTCTTCTCCAGGCTGAACAGCCCCAACTTTCTCAGCCTATCTTATATGGGAGGTGCTCCAGTCCCCTGATCATCCTCTTGGCCCTCCGCTGGACTTGTTCCAACAGTTCCATGTCCTTTTTATGTTGAGGACACCAGAACTGCACACAGTACTCCAAGTGAGGTCTCAGGAGAGCAGAGTAGAGGGGCAGGATCACCTCCTTTGACCTGCTGACTGTGCTCCTTTTGATGCAGCCCCAGAATACAGTTGGTTTTTGGGCTGCAAGCACACACTGCCAGCTTATGTTAAGTTTCTTGGTGACCAACACCCCCAAGTCCTTCTCTGCAGAAGTTCACGTCATGAACTTGCATGAAGTGTAAATGTTTGCTAAGAACATGAAGTACTGTGTCAATATAATTTTTTTAATATCTAGAGTTAAATTGTGAAGCTTTAAAGAATCAAAGATTTTTGTTTAAACTTAACTGTTATTGTCTGATTTTACAGTTTAAAAATAATCTTATACCCCAACTGGATCTGAGTTGCCTAATAATCGGGTTTTTTTACATAGCATGTAAGTAATAGCAAAGCTGTCTTAAGTATTTTCACAATTTTTACCAATCACATCCTCGAACAGTAAGATGCAGAAGCTTTGTATCTGTGTCCCAATTGCTAGGAAGACACCCACTTTCTTGTATCGTACCTCATAGTCATGCATAAGATGCACGGATTTAAAAGTAAGCCACATGCCAGGCTGCACTTACATAACTGGGACAGATGCTTTTTTCATTCCAAAAAGCAGCCGGAAACTTTTTATTTCAAAATATGTGTTTCCATCATTCTGACTAATTGGAAAAAAAAATGAGTTTTACTGACTTAAGTGTGAGCAAGAATTCTGTTGCGCAATATTTTCTCTTAAATGTTGGCTTTTGAATGTTTAGGGTTTATTCATACAGCAGTCAGCTTTCTGTACATATTGAAATGAGCATTGCTGATAACATAGTCTAGAAGATACTGATTCCCCAGGCTTTTTGCCTAAAGATTTAATAAAAGCTGCTGAGAAATGACTCTTTCAAGACCTAGTATCAGCCCCGGTGCTTAAATGAGTAGCTCCTAAACAGTAGGATTTTTGCCATCAACTTCCTTGTTGATTCCTTGTGACCTTTGTGCCATTTCTTTTTTAAGTAATGAGTAAGCCTTCTGAATTCATAAGGATGACAAAGGCCTTCGGAGGTTTGCAGAAACAGCTCTTCCAAGGCATGTTTAAACCTGACCTAAAACGTGTACATCCTAGTCCACCAGTACTAAAAGCTGTGAGTGATGCTCATAAGTAATGTCTCTAGTAGGGATGGATCTGAGTGGGATAATGCAAGCAGGCTGTAGCACTTCATTAAGTTGTGTGTTGTAGGACTGCTTTCTTGCTGCAGTATATGCTGGAAGGAAGCTCTGCAGTGGTCCATCCCATTCCCTGGACCTGTGAAGCTTGCAGTATAAATTATAGCAATCTGCTGAGGATAGCGTTTTCTGGAAAATAACAACTTGCTGTATTACCAGCCTGGAAGCTTTTCTTAAAACTATCTAGTCTGAGCTCTGTCTCTCAACACAACCACCTATGTGTGGGAAAACCTTACAAGCACCCAACCTGGTAAAAGCAGGATGTACTGGAGGTGTTACTGCATGGCTGGGAGTCACAGTGTCTCAACAGGCCAGACATTAATGTCTTGGTGTCCACTTTGATAGAAGAATGCTTTTTACTGCTTTCATCTCTCCAGAATGCCTGGTTGCCATAAGGCTGTTGCTGTTAATATTTGTGGTCATGCAGTCTTCCTGGTGCATATGTAGTCATTGCTGGTTCTGAGTAAGAGAGAAGAAAAGGAGGGGGAAGTGAGAGGATCTTTTGAAAAAGCTCTGAAGTTTTCTGAGTACATGAAGAAAAATGTGCAACTGCTCATTCCTTTACTTTTTCTGCAGCTAATGATAATCCCCAGCTATGTCCAATGTCATGTCTAGAGTATCTGAGTACCGTCCCAGAATGTGTTAAGCAATGTGACCAGCATCTGTCAACTACGAGTCATCCTCTTTCCAGTTAGACAAAGCTTTAAACTTGCCAGTGTTGTCAGGGGTCTAAGAGGTCTTCCAAAGACATGAATTTTCCTCACATCCTTCTGTTAAATCCACTATAAAAAGTTTGCCCTTAAAAGGATCAGGTAAAGCTGATAGGCAGGAAATGATGGTGAGGTTAAGAGGCTCTTGGACAGTGTTTCAGTGAGTGAGTTTCTGACATTCCCAAGCTGCACAGGCTAAAAGCAAAGCAATGTGCTACTACAGGTTCTACCCACGTGATGAGGCTAAATTTAAGGCTAGGCACTCCTGCAGTACTGGGAGCTCAAAGGACTCTGTGTCTGCATGCCAATAATGTGCATCTTTTTGCTTTACCAACTTCATTTTATCAGAAGTGTTGTGGTGATGAAGTCCCAGCTCATACAGTCACGTGAGAATCTCCATTTCATTTTAGGTGCCTTTTGTCCTGGTCATAGTGAAGAAAACTTACAACCACTTTTTCACTATGCAGAAAACTTTGTGGCTGTTTGAGCCATTGAACTTCTGTGTCTCAAAATTAAAAAGACAGAAACTTTGGAGGGGTGGGGAAGGGTGGAGCAGCCACTGACTTGTGATTTCTGGGCAGTGGAGAAGCAGCCTCACTTCCCCCTACTCACATGGATGCTGGGTACTGTAGGTGGGATCTTCCCCCAAAACTGCATGCATGTCACCACAGAAGAAACTAACTCTCCAGCTCTTTTAGGCAAGGTACAAAATTTGTTCCCTCGCTAATACAGGCATAAGATACATTTTTTGATTCTTTTTTTTGTTAGGTACTTACCTGCTTGAGTCTAAGTACAGAGCCATAGTACCGATAGGGTTTGAAAGCTGCTGGCAGCGCTCTCCATTCTGTGTTACTATCTTAGAAGGAGAAAGATAAACCAAAGATCTCCTACAAAACTTTGAACTTGTCAGATCCTGGGAAGTGAAGCTGGCACATTTTGCTCTATAGAAAGTAAATGCTTCACTATTGTGGAAGTACTGTTTTTTTCTGAATGTGCTGATCTTTCTATGAGGGGAGACCTTACCCCACTCCCTCCCCCCCCCCCCCTTTTCCTGAAGTTCCTCCATGAAAACCGCTTCAGGGGCTTTTTTTTTTTTTTTTTTACGTGTTCTGGCGATTAAATGGAAGGGCTGTGCGATGACCTGAGGACGTCTTTTGATAGCTGCTCCAACAGGCGCTAAAGGACTGGATTCAAGTGTTAAAAGACCATCTTTTGAAGCTCTGAGCACTCTTTGCTTCTATTTCGAACAGTATCAGAAACAGTTTTAGTCATGAGAGAGTTTAAAGACAACTAGCCATCCTTAGATGAGATTCTGCTTTGCATTTTTTTCCCACAGATGAATTAAAGTTACTCTTCAGTGATAATCAGCTCATTGTGGAAAGAAACGAAGGGAGTTTAAGCTGTTGTGTCTCTCGCTGGTAGCTGACAATGCTTCTTCTGGTTTCAAGGACAGCGTATCAAGATTTCACCCATGGTACCTGTTCTACCGTTGAAGTGAGTTTTATGCAGCTCTGCAAGTTTCAAAAAGAGTCAGTGTATCAAGTGTTGGGATCTGTGTATTTTAACAGAGTCAACTAGAGCAGATGCCCATGAAAGCCTCTATGTGCAGGCTGGGTATGCTGCAAACACTTGGAGGTAAGCAGCATGAATTAATCCTCCCAGGCCTTTCCAATTCTTATTTCTTCTCCAGGATACCATGGCATGTTTGTTGTCTTTTTCTTTCCCAGCATCTGATCTGAGATAGCAGATTTAGTAAAAAAAATGCTTTTGTCCTGAAATTCACTGCCATACTTCTAGGTATTCTCAATTAGAGATGATGCTTCTGGGACTCCAGTCCCTAAACTCTGTGTGACCCTGCTTCTCAGATGTTAAACATTACTTGACTGTAACTTTCTCAATGCCTTCATACACTATGGGCAGCCTTTGCACAGCTGAATAATGACCTGGTTCAACTTGAGTATGGTATACCTGTAAACGTTATTTTATCTTCACCATATATCTTATACTTCTAGTTTCCTGCACATTCCTCCCTTGGGAAGACTTCATGTTTGTACTATATTTTATCAACGTGTTAACATCTGGCTTTGTAAATTCTTTATATTCTCTAGGTGCATAAGAGCATCTGTAGTTCATCCTTTCCCAAGAAATGTGGAAACTGTCTTGCATATGTCTCTTAAAAACACAACAGTGTACAATCTGCTTCTTATTTATTCATCTTGCTCCATGTTCCTTCCTATAGAAATGCATCTGAATGCAAATACAATTATGTGTAAATTATTATCAAGTTGTAAATAGTTTACCAGGACTTATAGGGGATCAGATTAAAAAAAAACCAAAAAACTATTTGCACATAAAAGCATTTCTTGAAATTAGAAGCCCCACAGTCTTTCTGCTGCGAGTTTTTCCATGTCACCTATGTTTTAGCGCTGAGCCCATCATGTACAGCTGCGGATTAGAAATAGGGATTTGGATGTCATCTTGTCATCTTCTCCTGACATATAACAGACAGTGCATGAGGAGGGGAGGAGTGGTGTGTGATTCCAGGCATGGGAAATGAAGATAGCTGTGCAACACCTTTTGTGGGCTGGGCTGCATCTGCTCCTGATAAAGTCATTGCGTATAAAGTAATCTGGCAGGAAACTTCTCATTGGAATGTTTCCTTCACTGATGGGAATGTACATTTGTCATTGTCCTTCAGAATGACAGATACTTTAAATGATGTAAATCTCCACTAAGCAGATTCATGGACATACAAGAATAGAAAATACAAGTGAAGACATTGCTACTTGAAAATAGTTTCTGTTTAAATCAATCAGGCTTCAAATTCCTTTTATGATTAGGAAACAGATCTTTTTCTATTGCACATAGACCTGGTTTTATCACTCTGAATTCTCTTAATTTTGAACTTAACATCTGTCTCATGGCTCTATTGCCTTCCCTGCTGCCTGGACCATCCGGTTTGATAGACAGGATTCCACAAATGATGATGATCAGAGGAGTGTTCTTGGTGTTTTACTTGAGACTGTGGTTTTCAGAAGCTGCTCAGAGTGGTTTCCTGGCAAGTATATATTAATGAACAGAAGGGTGATCACTGGTGCGTGAAGGAAGTCACACATGTCGGCATTGCTGTTTGGTTGCAGTCTAACTGTATTTGTAAAAAGCTACACTATGTATTACACACAGAAATATTAACCAGATAGTCAAAAGAAAAAAGAATACTGGGTCGTTCAGGGTTGTTTGTTTTTTGGTTTTTTTTTGTTTTTTTCAGCAGCAAAAAAAAGGACTTCTATGGAAGTCTTTGGATTAGCCAGCTGTGATTTACAATCAGAAGCCTACATGGATTCAGTGAAAGCTGACTTGGACAGGTTGGCCAGGTACTTGGAGAAGTGATCTGTTGGGGGCTACTGAACAGATGTGCCACACATCCTGCTTGGGAATCTGAGTAAGAGCTATTGGAGGTTTGCAGAGTATATAAGGAAGATTCTTATTGTGGATGCCCACTTGGACCAGGAGGAAGTTGATGCAGGGGGGCTGTGATTTTTCTACAGCAGGTAGGAGGATGTTGAGTTAGGCAGAACAATTAGCTTGAACATTTTGCCTTTCTCGTGATCCATTTCACCTCATCCTTTGGCTGGCATCTGGGAACACCATAGAAGTGCAGCTCAGGCATGCCAAACCATCCCTTCCACAGTTGCTGCTTGTCTCTTCATTCATAGAATCATAGAATGGATTGGGTTGGAAAGGACCTGAAAGATGGTCCAGTTCCAACTCCCTGCCATGGGCAGGGACACCTCACACTAAACCATGTCACCCAAGGCTCCGTCCAACCTGGCCTTGAACACTGCCAGCGATGGGGCAGCCACAGTTTCGCTGGGCAACCTGCTCCAGTGTCTCACCACTCTCACCTAATATCTAATGTTAATCTCCCTTCTGTCAGTTTAAAGCCATTCTCCGTTGTCCTGTCACTGCATGCCCTTGTAAAAAGTCCCTCTCCAGATCTCTTGTAAGTCCTCTACAAGAATAATTTTTCTTTGTACTCGTTACTATATTTTTGTTGTTTCTTCTCTGTGCCTGGCCTAGGCAGGAGGGCTGTATCCCATACTTGAGACCCCAGGTTTGATTTCCTTCTCTGCTGAGTTTCCATAGTCTTTCCATGCCTCAGTTACTATACACAGACCACAGGGCTGCAGCAGCTGAAGGATGTTCTGCAGTTACATCTCTTTGAGCCAGTCCTTCTGGTAAGGAAGGCAAAAGGGTTTTGCAGCCTGTTTGACGCAAGTGATACTTGGTAACAGCAGTTTGGGAACTATGTGTGGGTGTGGGGCCTAATAATGGAGGAGGTTTGCCAAATTTCTGCTGTTGCTTCCTTTATTCTAACTGATGCAGCCTACTGTGCTATCAAATACTGTTTTGATGTGGAACTCTGTCATGGGCCAATTAGCACCAATAACTGGCTGAAAGCTGCCCCAAGGCATACTTTACGACCACCATTTTACAAGCTGTGCCACTCACATAAACTGTTCTCAATTTGGTGCAGGACCGGGCGAGGATGGGTGCGTGATGCCCTCAGAAGCTGTCGGAAGGCAGGTGGGATGTGCCGGCGTGCCTGGCCACCTCAGCTCCGCGACCAGCCGTCCTGCCCAAAGCTGGGTCTCGGCAGCGGATGGCTCTGGGCCCACGCGCCAGGCACTGCCACTTGCTGATCACCTGCGCTGGACATCCCAAAGGGAGAAGCACCGCCTGAGTGCGGCGGAAGCCAACTGCCGCTCTCACCGCGCCCGGGCACGGCTTAATCCCCTCAGCCCTGCCGCCCGCCCGAGGAGCTGCTACTGAGGTCTCCCCCGCGGACCTTCCCCCTCAGGCCCTTCACCGCCCGCTCGCCGGGGCGGGGGACGGCTCAGCCGGCGCAGCTGGCAGGAAGGCCCGGCAAGGGAGGGAAGGGAAGGGGAAGAGGCGGGGCCTGTAGCCCAGCAGTGTCAATAATACAATAGGGCTCTTGTGAAGCTGCCGCCGGAGGAGGAGTGGGGTCTGACTGCGGGTGAGCGGGCCAGCCAGCCGAGCAGCCGGCACGCAGGGCGGGAGCCGCCGCCGGCCACGGGCCCGGGCGGGCGGAGGCGATGCGCGCCGGCGCGGGACGGCGGCACCACCACCACCAGCAGGAGCAGGAGCGGCAGCGGCTGCCGCCGTCGTCGTCGCGGCGGGAGCGCCAGCCCTGACGGCCGCGGCCGCCCACGCCGGCGAGCAGAGGAGGAGCGGGAGAAGGCGGCGGCGGCGCGCCGGGCCGTGCCGCGCCGGCGGCGGGAGGTGAGCGCGGCCCGGGCTGCCCGCATGAAGGCGGGGCGGGGGGCGGGCGCCGGGCCGCCGGGGCCGCCGCGCCGGGCCTGTACGCGGGGGAGGCGCCGGGCCTGCGGCGGGCGGGAGGCGGTGGCGGCGTTTGGCGCCAAGGCCGGGCAGGAGAAGGGGGAGGAGGAAGCAGCGGCGACCGGGGGGAGGCGGCGAGTCCTGCGGGTACGTGGGGCCGGGAGTGGTGGTGGGGGCCGTGCCGTGCCGGGCGGGCAGCGTCCCTGAGGTGCTGTGGCGGGTTGCCCGCCCGTCCATCTGTCCGGCGTGGGCGCTGCGGCCCCGGCCGCGTCCGGAGGGAAAAGTTGCGGCTGTTCTTCCGGGCCGCCGCTCCGACCCCGCGCTTGGGAGGCCGTGCCCGCAACGTGCGGCAGCGGCTGGGCGCCCCCGGCGAAGCGCCCTTTTGTTCGCCGCAGCCCGGAGAGGCGGCGACCCGGCGGTCCCCGAGCCGGCGTGGCCCTGCGGAGCGGAGCGGGTCTGGGCGTGGCGGGCGGGCGGGCCGACACAGCCGAGCGGTTGTCCGCTGCCGAGCAGCGCTCCGCCGGTATGTCGAGGAACTTGCTAGAACTGAGTTTGACAATGAAGAGGTAGCGCTGCCCGGCCCGCAGCTGCCAAGGTAAGTTTTGTGATGAGCAGCAGGCGCGGGTAGCGCCCAGGAGCACCGTGCACTTGTAGGGATAGGAACGGGAAGGGCCCGTCTTCGGCTTTCCTAATACAACCTTCTTCCGCCCTCGCACGATGTTTGCTGGGATGTTGCCCGTCTTTCTGCAAAGGACGCACAGCGCCCAGTACGGTTAGCAGTAGGGGATGTAGCAAAAGTGGCACTTGCAAGTAATTCTGTAGTGATTGGTGGGAAGAATGGGGCACAGGCACCTCAAAATACGTCTTGACAGGTAGAATAAATGCTGCTTTTTCCTGTTTTATTTAACTACACTTTATAAAGAGCATTTATAGTTATTTGAAGAGTTCAGCTATTATTCACAAATTGTTATAATGAGCAGCTACGGACTTTAAAATATCACTAAATTAGTGCAGTGCTTTAAAGGAGACAGGATGCTGAAGACAGCATCCAGTTGTGATTAAAATACACTAGGAACAACTTGGAATCTGTTGCGCTTCTCTGAAAGTCTTAGCACTAAAACTGAAAGGTTAAGAGGGTTGTATTTTGTCTTGGTGCACACGGAACGTTTCATCTGCAGCCAACTCTTTACGTCATGTTGGTGCTTATTGTGGGCTGTTCTGTAGAGCATCTCGAGCACACCTGCTTATCTCTGCAAAGCAAGGCTGTATCTTGGCCACAGTTAGAGCTAACCTGTAAGTGTGAGAGCTGGGTGGGTTTATAGAGGAAAGGACCCACCTGGATGAAGGCATGCTAGTGTAACTTTCAAGCCTGCCACAGAGTTCCTTAGCAGGACGTCAGAAGCTTTCACCTGCACATACTAAAGGGAAAAAATGCAATTTTAGTTAAGAGAGTGCATTTTCAAATTAAAAGCAAGTTAATGCTCTTAGAGTCCAAAGTTATGTTGGGTTTTGTTGTTGATTTTCAGTTTGGCTGTTTGGGTTTTTTTTTTTAGCTGAACTTCTAACCTCTTTTCAGACTGGACATGACATGCCCTGTTCTTAGTGCCTAGGAGGAGCAGAAAAAAAAGCTGTCTTCTCCAAAAGTTGGGCTTGAGATGCAATAGAAGTCATCAAAATAACAAGAGCTGTTTCTATTGCCTGTCCTTCATTTAATGTTTCCTCTTTCTAGGTTCATTTTGCAGAACAGACCTCTCTCCGCCAGCAGTAAAATTTCCCCTGAGTTCGGTTAGTCAGTGCAACTGTGGGTTAGTTTTTTTTTTTTGTTGTTTATTTGCATTTTTGCATTGTGTAGCAGGTACCTGCAAAGATTTACTAGAGAGCTGATGCAAGAGCATCCGCAGTGGCATTTATTGGCAAGGATGTGTGTTAATTTGGGATCTCGTTAAAATCCTGAAAATCCTTTGTGAATGTAAAAGGCGCAGCTAAAGGATCTCAGTGTAAGTGTTAGAATGAACCCAGCTTTTTCTTTCACCATGGTTCTGTGGGCTTCCTCCCTGTGGCAGAAAATCAGGAAGTTTCCATGTGGAATTTATTGGGATACCTGAGGTTGCTGTAGACTTGTAGTTTTTAAAATACATGTAGTTCTTGTAGAGCTGGGTGGCTTACTTAGGACAATTTCCAAAGGCTGCTCATTTACTTGTCCAGCTCTATGTGTACACCTCAGCAGGCACACATGCGTGCGGTTGCTGTAGTAGCTGCCACGTGCTGAGTGCTGTAGAGCATTTATCCCAAAGAGCTTGCTGTGGCTCACCTGTGGGGTGTCTTGACTGGTGGGAACTCTTGCCTGGCATGATACGATGGCAGGTGCCCAAGGCCATGGCAGAAATGGCTGGATTTGTTAGACCTGCTGGTGAGAAGTGAAGTTAAACCCAGTTCAAGCTGCTTCGAGTTTGAGTTTGAAATTGATACTCCTATGTTGCTCCTTGGGGGCTATTCAGGTAGCTTTTTTCAATCTTTGAAATTGTTTTCTGGCCATTATGCCCAACAGGTAAGGAGCATGGTTTGGAGTCTGTATATTTTTGTTTAGCTCAGCACAACATATCCAGACCAGGAGCATAGACCCATGTTTGTAGTGCAGCTTTTGTGATCCATGGATTAAAATGTTATATAAACCTCTGTTTCTGTGGTGCATCTTTCTCCTTTAGTCCCTAGAAGTCTCCTTTAGAATTGGCTCAAGGTTTTGAGAGGTCTTACCTGAATAGGTTTGGTAGTGGAATGTTTTGTACGCTTCAGAATATGCAGAGCAATTTAGTAACAAAGAATTTGAAAGTTAATATTTTATTAAGTGTGGAGATCATTCTCTTGATATATTTTATAACCAAACCCTTGCTGTTCTGTCTAGGTCAGTGGTGTCATTCCTTCTTGCATTATAGCCAGAAATGGATTTAGCCAAAACTTGCAGTTTGATCATGCCAGCTTAATTTCTCACTACTCCCACAACTTTTGTGGGAGCCGCAGCTAAGGGTTCCCAGGGGCTTCTGAATTTCTGGAGAGGGGAACCCTTCCTCTGGAATCGTGTGGTATTTCTCTGAAGATTTGAAAGTGGTTATGACACTTGAGGCTTCATGTAATTTGAGACATAAGTGCAATTTTTACATACTTTACTTAAAATGGAAACTAACAAGTTAATAATAGCACTTATCGGGGGATATTTATGTAATGGAAGCCAACAGATGCTATTTGCATCTTGAAGAGCTGGTGTATAACATGTTATGTCAGGGCCCTGGCAGGTTTTGTGCTGGCGGAGGCTGGGTCAGGTGGGAGTGAGAGATGCTGGAGATCCGTAGTGCTTGATGGCACCTCTGAGAAGTGAGATAACTATATGAAATTTTGCATTTTAGCACACAGTTGATTTTAGCTTAATGCTGCTATTTAAAATAAAAAAGCATGTGAGAGGTGATTTAAATTTATCCATGTTAAATGATCAATTGTACTGTCACTTTAAAATGACTTTTCTTTAAGCTGTCTTCTAGCTACAACTGCACATCTGATGTTCAGAACCCCTGAAAAGTGTGCTTATAGATACTAATTTTACTGATGCTTCAACTTCAGCTGTAAGATGATATCTGGCAAAGAAGTATTAGAAGTGTGATGTGACAGCCTGGGTGTTGCCTTCTGTGGAGAGATGTCTGTGTAATTACTAACCACCTCCCTATTTCCTAGGCTGTTCTCTCTTTTCGTATTTATTTACTTCCCAGTCACCCTTTTCTAGATGGCATGTGAACTTTTCTAGCATTTAAGATCTTGTTTCAGTGGGTAGGAGACAAGGAATTTTGGGATTAGAGCACTCTGGGACGTGTGATCTTGGGCCTAATGAAATCTCCTGCGTTTGCAGAGCTGTAATACAAGCTTTAATGGGATTTAAAGAGATGGAAGAGACCCTGAGCTGTGAGTGTGGATGCGGAGGCCCCACTGGCACTTGTTAAGTCGCCCTGTTAGGAGGAGCAGGAGAAGGTGGGAGTATAAGCTTGTGACTGCTGCTGCTATTTGTTATAACTTTCTCCTGGATGAAACACTGGGATGCTTGCTTTAGCTTGTTAAAACTTTGCTTGAAAACTTTGGAGTGTTTTCCTTCTTTAACATACACCTGCTACAGCATTAGATTACAGAGCTGTGTTTTCTTGCTTATTGAATTGAATGCCGAACATAACATATTGTGTCGTTAATGCCTCCTTGTGTTTTAATTAAAGCTGTAGGGAGATGTTAAAAAACAGGTTTATACACATGCCACACTGGTTGCTAAATTGAATATGCTTGTCATATGGTCTTGAAGGAATTACGTACTATTTTGCTAATCTGCTGTCCAGGGCTCTCCCAATCCTCTGCTCCTTCTTTATCCTTCCCCCCACCATTGTTCTGAAAAAAAAAAACCAAAAACCTTCTCAAATGTTTTCTGACAGCCTCTCATATTTGCTAAGAGTTCCTGACTGTGTGGTTGGCTTTGCTGTGGCTCTTGTTCATGTGCTAGAGAGCAGTTTTGCACCTGCGCAAGTGGTTTGATGCACAGCAGGTCCAACAGCTTCCAAGGGTGAGTGCTGTGCAGTAGTAGATGCTGGGATGCCAAAGGGAGGGGTGGCACCCTGCCTACCAGGCTGTGCCAAGCGAAACAACTGACCAAGAGCATTTACTACACATGGTTAATTCTGTGCGACTGTGTTACGAGCTGTTTTCCAAGCTGTGTTTTAAATTTACAGGTAGTTCTTGTTTATGGGTAGTTTAAATTTACAGGTAGTTCTTGTTTTGGAACATTCTGTTGGGTAGATAAGAAGTTGGAGGAAAACTTCTGGATAGGACATGTCTGCATGCTAAATAGCTTTTAACTGTGATAAATTGTTTATCATGTAGTACTGGATGACTGCAGTTCTTTAAATGTGCAAATGACA